TCCAGCCCAGCTTTTTCTCTCCGTCCTGGGTGAGCACCACAGAGCTGCAAATTCCATCCGACACACCTCTTTGGAGGATGAAAGATTCTACAATAATTGCATGCCCAGGAAGTGCTGTTGCGAGAGCAGTCTCTGTGGCGAAGTTCTGGGAGAGAGGGTCCCATGGTGATGCAAAGCTCAAAAGAAAAGAGAAACGGAGCCAAGCAAAGATCTACTCCCTGCCCCTCTCTGACCGCTGGGTGAGAACTAAAATTTAGCCCTGTCAGAGAAATGCGTTGCTGAGTGCAGGAGTGTGGCTCCACCTTTAAACCAGTACGACATCTCCACATGATCACAGCCGAAGGAGGCCTGGCTCTGGGGGTGGGGAAGTTGCCCGAGCGTTTCCTTGCTGTGCTCCAACATCTGTCTGATAGCAAGAGCTTCGCTAGGAAAAAAAAGTCTGTGCAGCATCATCATCCGAGCCCTCAAACGAAGGAGCACCGAAAACCATTCGAATGCTGCCATAGCCGGTGTTCCCAAGGGCAGGAACTCCCAAGGTGAGCACATGGGCTTACTCAGCAGGCGCTCTGTGCATGCTCAGAATGAGCCTCACTGCTCTCTTCAGCCTGCTCTGGAGATGCACTTCTCCCCTGGCTCAAACAAAATTCTTCCGTGCTCCCTGAACGCAGTGAGGGGTCGTCACTCTCCAGCAAATTGCAGGGATGTTGGCAAGGTCCATGTCCACTGGCACATGGTGCGCACGGCGGTGTGGGAGGATGCACCAGGGACCTCTAGCCCGGAGAGACTGTTGAAGCTCAGACGGTGTGGGAATGAAACCAAAACTCTGGGCCTAGCTAAGCTCTGCAGAAGTACTTCCTGGGTCACAGTCACCTTTGATTAGCTGATTTGGGGGGCCGTTTTCAGTGTCGATTTGCACATGGGGTGCTGATTTACCAGCCCCAAATGTGAGTGTTCTGGGGATGTAGACAGCAGTCTTCAGGAATGGAGATAGCTACTGGCTGCGAGAGCCGATTTCTGTGAACCAGGATGACCCTTCCCAAGCCCCCGACTTCGTTGCTGTGGTGCGACAGAGTATCCGTGCGCACAGCAACTCTTCTGAGGCCTCAAGCTCACGTTTCATTTCACCGTTCTGTTCTGAGCTCCGCTGGCCCAGAGGCCTGCAGCTCCATGGCATGTCCAGGCAGGGATTTGAACTGGTAGCCCCCTGGTCGAACTGCTCCCAGCTGTGCCACGGGTTTGGGAGGAGTGTGTGGCGTTGGTGGGAAGGCACTCGGGTGTGTGTCTGAGAGCGAGGGAGCAGCACGCATGTGGGCTGCATGTGCACACATGCACATGACGTGTGTGGGCAAGGCGCAAATGCACACATGTTGTAGATGGATTCCAAAGGATGGTTGGAGGAAGCTGACACATGCCGAGCCAGGCAGTTGTCCATCCTAGCTCAGTGCTGCCTACACTGACTGGAAGCAGCATTTTAAGCTTTAAGGCAGCGGTCCTGCCAACCCCACCTGGAGAATCCCGGGCCTTTGGCATACGCACCTTGGGCTCTCCTAGCAAGCAGTGGCCCTTGGCTTCCCAGCAGAGGTGGCAGGGAATGCTCCTTGGGTGTCCTTCCTCGGGGCAGAGGAAGCTGCATACCCGGACTTTGCTCGAGAGTGTGATTTTTTTTACAAGGGCCCGTGGAAGAGAAAGTTGGGCATCCTGCCTTCTCACCGTGGGGAAACACGCCACAAGTGCACGGCTGCTGCTTTGCCCTGCTGAAAAGCTGGCTGATCCTGGTCACAGGAAGAGGGCCCTTCTCCGAGAAAGATGCAAGCCGTCCCAGCCATGGAGGAGGTGGGCATGAGCTGGGTTGCAAGAGGGTCGGCTGCTTGTTAGCGGCAGTGGGGTGAGCCAAAGCATGCAAAAAAAAAAAAGCATCCCTCAGGGGAGCCTTCCCCATCAGGTGCCCTCCAGCTGTGCACCCTGGGGGTGCCGGGCCAGCCGATCTGGCTGGGGAAGGGCTCGGCTGAAGCGGGAGGCAAGGCAGCCCCCTTTCGCAAAGGCGCCTACACGTCGTCCGCCCCGATCAGGGAACAAGGCCGGGTACTTACATCCGATGCAGCGGCTTCAGTGCTGCAGCCCTTCAGTGGGTTTTGGACGAAAGACTGCCAAGTAGGCACATCTGGAGCCAGTTACTTCCGGCATTCCTCAGCCCTGGAAGACAGAGCCCAGGGAATCCAAGCCGCCTGAGCAATGCCAGCTCGCCTTCCTTCGCATTAACGTCTGTCCAGAGCGACCCTTCTTTGCAGAGGACGGTGCGCAGACAGCGCGGCTCCCTCCCTCCTGCCCACCCAGGCAAGCGTCTTCTCGCCGAAGTCTGTCCTTTGGTACGCGCTGCCGGAAGAGCCCTGCAGCCCCGTGCTAAGCAAAGCCAAGCGCTCCGCCAAGGCCTCGTCACGTGACCTGAGCAGCTCTCTCTGTCCAAGAGAGCTGGAAGAGCCGTGCAGCGTTCCCGGTACAGATGTTTGCCAGCAGCAGCAAGAGGTTACTGAAAAGGCCGTTTCTTGTTGGCTGCGCAGGCAGGCCCGTGGGAGGGCCCCACCTCCGCATGATGAGCAGTGCTGGGTGGCGTGCTGGAAGCCGACGGATCCCCCAGCCACACTTGGTTCTCAGAGAGCAATAAAGTTTGCACCTTGTAAAAGGAGAAAGGGCCAGTGCATTAAAGCTGAGCTCCAGTAAGACAATTTCCTGAGAAGAAATAGCTCCAGGGATCGCAAGTTCATCTGCTGATTTCATACATGGGCACTTTTGTGGGGAAATGCATGCATTTTTAATTATTTGGAGACATAGACATGAGTCTATCGACACGTCAGAAGGCAGATGGGCAGAACCCCAGATCCCCCTCTCTGGGGAGCAAGAGATGTCCACAGCCCCTTCCCCCACTTCCTCTGTCCCGCCAGCTGTTGGTGGGCAGCTGCCTGGTTGCTGTTGTGCAGTTTCTGGTGCTTGTCCTAAAAGGCTACGATGCCTTTCCTACTGCAAGGAGAGCTTAAGCCAGGCTGCGCTGGTATTTTGGTCCCACCTCTTCGGCCTTTCACTCCGCTCCCCACCTCCCCCTGGGGGCGTCTCCAAAATGGATCTCACCCCTGGGCTGAAAGACTCACCAGCCTCCACTCCAGGCAATGTCCAATGTTTGGGGGCTGCAGGGGGTCTCCCGTATTGGCCCTGGCGAGCCCCGGTCCACTCTGTTTCCAAGTGGAAGGCTAGATCGAACCACGCTGGCCCAGCTCCCTCCTCAGCATGGTGCTCCTGAGGAACTACGAAAGGGCCAGCCCAGCCACTCGGTGACGCAAGGCCATCGCCTCAGGCAGCAGGCGCTTGGAGGTGGCAGCGTGCTTCAGGAGGGAGCCGTGGCTGCCCTGAGAGCGAGTCTGCTCCCTTCAGGTACAGTGGACGACGTGCATCACTAGAGGAAGCTCGAGCTGCCGGCTCAGTCAGGGAACAGGAAGGGGTGCCACCTTGGCCTTTGCCTCAGGCAGCAGATTGCCCTCAGCTTGCTTGGCCACAGAAGGGGCACAAGGGCAAGAACCCTCTCCTGCTGTTGGTCTTGAAGGCAGCCATGGATCGCCGTATCCTCCATGAATTGCTCAGGTTGGTAACCTTTTCCCAGTTGCAGCGATGTCCTATTGCAGCTCTCTTCACCCCGACCACGGGGGGCCGATGGTAGGTGGACTGCTGTTGCTTCTGAAGCACATTCTCTGCTCGTGGTTCAATCCATGAGACTAACACACCTCAGAGTAGACCCACTTGGGATTGTCATCCTAAATACGTCTACTCAGAAATAAGTCTCATCGAGGTCTTAAGGACTTATTTTTTTATTATTATTACAAGATTGCAGTCGATCATAAGTCAGACTTTTGGCGAGAGTGGTCTTCAGTGGGGGCCTACAGAACATGGGCATGTCCATGGTGTGTTTTCAAGGGCCAGCAATTCAGGCAGCATATCAACATCTGTCCCCTGCACTCCAGCAGTGCAAGCTGAAATCGATCCTGCCTAATCTTGGAAGCTAAGCAGGGTCAGGCCTGGGCAGAAGTGGGATGGGTGACTTGAGTGTATGATTCTAGGATTATTGCTGTCAGCTGCCTAGAGAGCTTTGGCTATGGGCAGTATAAAAATGTAATAACAACAACAATAACAATAATAATATTACAAGGTTCTCACATTCACCACTGGACTGAAATATGTCAAAATCCTAATGAGTGCAGTCCAGTCTCACTCAGCTCAGGTTTCTCAAAGAAGTTGACTGGAAGCAGCTGAATTGACTAGAAGGGCAAGGCAGAGTCAAGTCCAGCCATCCAGGAAGACTACCAGGATAGATCAATGCTGCCTAGGACTTGCTTAGCAAGAGCTGTTGTCTCAGCAACATCCAGAGGCCATCCAAGAAAGCTGCCTAACGTGGGCTGGCTCTCAACTGAATCCTCATGGGGAAACCATGTGGTTCTTAAAAGCCTTTGCCTGATTCTGCAGCTTCTGCCTCCTTTAACAGGGAGGTGCTAAGGATTTCATGGTGTGAGGGTGGACCCTCTCGAGTTCAGGGAAGTCACGTCTTCTGGCCTGCAGGACCCCAGGGTAACTGACTCCGGCTTACTGGGCAATGGCTTTTCTACTTCCGAGGTGGAATCAGGGAAAGAGAAGGCATCTCCTCTTGTCCATCAGGAATGCTGTCTGTGGTCACCCATAAAGCTTATGGGCACAGCAAACCTCCACTGGCTATGGGGCTTGCTGTAGCTAGAAGCCAGGCAACTGCAGGTTTTCTAACCACAATCAAGAAGGATGAACATTAAAAATATAAAAAATCCACGCCAGTAAATCCTTGGGCTCAGTTTTGCTGGAGTGACACCTTGGATTAGTGTCTTTGCTCCATGGCCAGCCAGAGACAGAACACCTCAAGCTTTGTCTGGTTAAGCACAAAAACCAACCTGACAAGCCCCCGAAAGGACCTGCAGTACACGTGGCACACATTTCTTTTAACGCCAATTGGCACATTTATTTGATTTCTGCATTTGTATGGCAAATGCTTTAGAGAGTCTATTGAACCTTGAAATAGGAAAAAAGAGAGACAAATCAGTCCTAAAATCACCAGTACACGTGGTAAGCGAAGTGTTAATGTATAAAGCAATACAATCAAAAGATGCAAATTGCTGCGTTAAAATTAGTGCCTATTAGAGGGAAGTCCTTGTAGTAACGCACTGCTATTTCCATCGACTTGGCACTTCAGAAGACGCATTACTGTGTAAAGCTACATTCCAGATGCAGTGCAGCACAAAAAGTGTTTTGCAAATGTATCGGCATCTCCTGCCTTCCCTGAAATTTGACGGTCACTGCCCAGGCAAGGGCTAGGCAGGCCAGGCCAGGCCGCCGCTTGGAGGGGAGACAGCGCGCGCCCCCACCCACGTGCATGGCCGAAACCGCACCTTTGGCGGACCCACCCCGCTCAGCTTTCTCTTAGAGCATTTTCCACCTTGCATTCGTTCACTTTCCCCTAATAGTCTTTCCACCTATTTGAGTTTTCGCATTAAGGGCACAATCCTGCCTAAGGAAAGCCCTACAGCCAGCTGGACTGAGCTGGGAATTGTAGCCCTTCTTGCTGTTTAAACTTTTCTAGCATTGCATCCTAAATAAATTTTCTGTTTTAAGGGTGGCTTTGGGACCTGAGAACTTTGTGGATGAGAGCACCTGGCGGCATTACATTCAGGGGCAGGTGCTGCTGGATCGGAAAGGTGCATCAGCAAAAATAAAGCCCAAGAAGCAAACATGCTGGTTTTAAATGGCAAAAAGGCACCCAAATCGCCAAAAAACAGACAACAAATAGAGGCAAATGGCCTGATGACAACTGAGCACAACCATGTGCTCTGACGGACAAGTTCTCCATCAGGCACCAATTTCAGACTCACCTCTATTTTTGTTTTGTTTTTTGCATTTTTACCTGTTTAAAATGTTAGGAGGACACAAACTTCTGTGATTCACATGAGTGAGATACAAACTGCAGCACGGTCTCCCCACCTTTCCCACGCTCCCCTTCAGGCTTCTCACGTACTAACATGATCGAGGGACATACCAAAAATGGGTTTGCCCACTAGTTCAGCCTCTAGCGCAACGCTTTCCACCCCAGACCTTCTCTAGCAACGGCGAAACCGCAGTCCAACCCAGAAGCTGTGTGCACTAAACGGGGGCAGGTTTCCTTTAAAAAGAAAGGTGGAAGGAGCATGCTAAGACTGCCTGTAAAGCACGATGCCTGCTTCCTTTTCATTCTTCTGGAAAAGCTGGAGTTTTCAGAGTTTCAAAATAGACAAACACAAAAGGATGATAATGGTACGATATGGAGGCCTCATAAAGAGTGAGTGAAGAAAGCACAGTGAATACAGAATAAACGTCCGAGGAGGAAGCGCTCTGGCATGCAGAAACGACGACACAAAGATCGAATGATGGAAGTGCAGAGGAGGTAGAACTTCCCTGAGAAAAGTCTTCTGCATCCCGCAAGGAGCACAAGCGACTGACCCTGTGTGTTCGTATCAAGGCCACCCTGGGCGGGTTGGAACCTGCAATTTCAACTCTGCAACAGGTGAAGACTTTCAGGTGCGAATGAGCCATTGCAGATATAGTATTCTCTGCAAATTCTTCCAGCACCTCAAATGCAAAATTTTCTGGAAAATGAAATTTTCAGTTGGTTCAGCTGCCAGACATTTTAGTCAACCGTTTAACCCCCAGCCAAGCGTATGAACTGGCAGCACTAAAAAGTGCCATGTTCTGGACTCCATAGATGCTGCAGCAATTACAAAATAGAAAACATGGAAGGGCCCCCAGAGAAGGAAAAAGGGCAACTGACACGGTGGAGGAACTGAAGCAATGAGCTCGCAGCATCCTGCACTGTTGAGAAAAATGGTGTACGGGAAGACTGAGTCAAGGGGTATAAAACCATGCAAGGTGAGGATGAGCAGAGGTCTCTCTCAATTCTAGAGCCCAGTGGGTCACCCCATTGAGCTGATTGGTGGGAGATCCGAGAGAGATCAAAGAATGCCATGCTTCACACTGTGCATAATTAAAACTATCAAATTTCTTTGATCAGCAGGAAATGGCCACAGCTGTGCTTGGCTTTAAAAGGGGATTAAGCAAATTTAATTTAGGGAGGAGAAGGTCTCTGTGGCTACTTGCCTTGATGGCAATATGCCATCTCTGGTATGGGAGGCAGTGTGTTGATGAACACCAGTCACTTGGAAACATGACCGGATGCGCTATGGACTGAAAGCCACTTGTGGGTCTTCCACAAATTGCTGTGGGTGCAGAATGCTGGACTAGAAAGCCCCCACATCTGAAGTGGCACAGCCCTTCTTACGAGGACGGTCGCCTTGCCCAGAAGGCATCCCGGGGTCTTCAGGCCTTCCTGGTCACGACGGGGCAATCAGGGCGGGGGAGGCACCCCCGAGCCCTCCATGCTTTGAGCTTTGCTGCGACCGCTTTTGTTTACATAAGGCAAATAGGATGGGCTAGCCAGGTCCTTGTCCAGGGATGGCTTATTCAGGCCCACGTCACTGGTTGAGCCTGCAGTCAACAAGTGATGCAAATGGATGTGGGAACATGCCTTCGTCAATTCTTTACAACCTGCTCGGTCATTTAAGGCACAATTTTACACCGACAACTGCCAGGGCAGGCTGGGAGTTGTAGGCCATCTTTCTGTCTAAACTAGGATAGGAGTACATTCTTAGATTGCTGCCACATTCGCATAATCCTACACCCACCATCTTTTTGGGAGTTGGGGGAGGCGACTATGTCTGCAAGGCATTCAGAAGCTGCTGCATCAAATCGGTCCATCGTCCTCAAGACGGTCCTGGAAGACAAGATGCTCGAGAGCAGCCACAGTTCAGCACTAAAGCTCGTTATGCCCTTTGGTCCATTTCCACCATGAGTTCTTCTTGAGGAGCTGCTGCAGGTGAAGAACCGCACTGGCTTGGTATCAAATCACTGAGGCGCAGTCACGAGACTCGTGGGTGCAAGGGTCTCCCCACAGCACGGCTCTGCAGCTAGCAGCTCGGCCGACGGCTCGCTTGGGTTGCCCCTACGACGGGCTGTCCCTCTGCTGGAACCCGAGGAGTTCCTCTGCGAGGCTCAGGAGGCTGTTCTCCTCCAAGGCAGTGATGAGTCTCTGGATGGTGGCCCTCTTGCCCTCCGAGTCGATAAACCTGCGCAGCAACTGGTACGCCTGCTCGTACAGGCCCTCCCGTTCGTACTCGTGCGCCAGGTTGTCGATGACGGGATCTCGAAGCGCCCGGCAAGTCACCTGCAGAGACCGGCCCACCTGCTTCCATTTCTTCGAGACAAGTTTGGCAAACTTCTGATGGTCGTCCGGCGTGATCCTTCGGTTGACTTGGAAAAGGTAAACGGAAAAGAAATCTAACTCATTGGGAGACCTTGTACATGAACACCGTTCATAGGATTAGGGCTTTTGGCTGCCACCCTATACAACAGGAAAGGAAAAGAATTGCTAGGGTGCCATCATTTCCCACGTGCACGGCCACTGGCGTTGCCTCCTGCCTCTCCCATTTCCCCTCTACCAACCACCCGCCTTTTTGGCGACAGCTTGCTTGATGGAGAGACCTTGGAAACACGCCCTTTTGGGGTCCTCTTTTTTCAGCCAGTCTGATCCGTGTATTTATTTATTTATTATACTCATCCCCTTTCAAGGAATTCCAGGCAGCTTACATATGGATAGAGACACAATTGCATGCACACACTGTTTCGTCTTGTTCATGGCGGGGTTCTTCCAACGCCTCCCTTGAAACACTCACCAAATGGCTGCCCTTGGAATGTGAAGACATCTCCCTGCACACAAGACCCTGAAAGCTCCGAAGAACCGTAAGACAGAGGGGAAGAATCCAGAGACCGAGGGGAAGAATCCAAAGACGGAGGGGAAGAATCCAAAGACAAATACTGATTTCCTGTGTTGCTTTCTGGGTGACAACTAAGACTTCTAAGGGATTCCTCCAGCTTTGCAATTTCTTCATCCCTGAGATGGTTAGGCTGAAAGAATAAGTAAAACAAAGCATACCAAGTTTTGCTTCTGTTCCAATTCCCCCCTCAACTGGCTCTTTTCCTTTCCTAGATTGCAGGGCCAAACTAAAGAGTTCTCCCACTTTGAACAGGTGAATTGGGTGAGGGGAGTCTCCCTACTCTGGTCTCCTTGCTGGAATTCTACCAACACCAGGAAACCAACAAAAACTGGTGGCCAGATTTTTTTTAAGTGAGGGGTTATCCTTTTGAGGGATCCTTGAGTGGTGCAGATGGGTATTCCAGGACAGCCGGATTTGGTTCTGCACTTCTGCAGAAAACAAAAAAGTATTTCAAGTACTTGAAAAAATCCACGGCTGCTGTGCTTCTCTTCAGAAGAGTCATGCTTGGCTCATCTGACAAGAATACACTGCTTTTCTTTAGGGCCATGCTTTTGCAGATATGAAAGAAAAACCTATACAATTTGCCAGAAGGTCCTTTTGATCCTGTAATAGCAGAGAATGAGAATCCATGGCTAACTGAAAATGTTACCTTTCATTTTAAAAAAAGTTTCTAGCCCTTATTGGGAAAGCAGGCAGGGTGCCTTCAGTGCTCTGAGCGGTTCCCCGTAAGAGACATTCCTGGAAATGAGATTCTGCTACATAGTTCTCTGGAAATGAGCACTCCACTGAGCTCCTTGCTCTCCCTGCATGACACAAACCCAGAACTATGCAGAATACTCAAACCTGGGCATTGTGCAAAACTTGGCACGAGCTGCAGAATCCAGCCCTGGCTGCAGGCTGGGATTGCCTAGAAGCTCAAGTCTCTGAATTGGCTGTGACCCAGAAGCCGCGGCAAGCCCCCCCCCGCCCCCCCCGCCCTCCGAGTCCGGGCGCCACCTTTTCATGAAAGATGCAGCTCAGGCAGCGTTCTTCTTCCCGGAGCATGCTGTCCAGCTGCTCGGCGCCAGCTTTCAGCTCCATCTGGACAGGGATGGCGCTGCCCACGGAGTCCTTGAGGTGTCTCTGGAGAGAGTCCTGGAGGGTTCCCATGCGGTAGCTTTGTAGAAACTTCCTGCAGTTCTCTTCCTTGCAGAATTTGAGCTGGAGGATCAGGTGGGGGTCACTGCAGTGCACCTTCAGCACGTCCAGCCCGTTTAGGCTCCCAGTGGAGTCTAGAGAAGCAGCAGGGAGGGGAGGAAAAGCAACTCAGTGGCAAGCAAAGCAAGGCAGAGTTTGGAGGGGTGGGACACCGGAGCAGCTGCTTTGCAGCCTGATTGCTTCTCAGGTCTCGACCAAGTGGGAGAGTGCAGCTCTCGGACTCAGCCCTGGGCACCTCCAATCCAAATAATCCCAGGCAGACACACTGGGAAAGGCCCGTTTCTGCTTCTGAGCTTGCAGAACTGCTGCCAGTCCAACCAGGCGATATCAGAGTAGATGGAGAAATGGCCCCACTTGGTGTGGAGTCGCTTTGTTGCAGGTATGGCCGTGGCATTCAGTCCCTTGCAGAGCACTAGAGCAACGGGTACAGCAGCTTTCCCCACCCCAGTGCCCCCCAGATGTGGCAGCTGGTGGGAGGTGATGGGAATTGCAGTCCAAAGCAACAGGACAGCACCAGGCGTGAAAGGCTGCCGTGTATTCAGACACACTGATAACTAGCCAATATAGATGGGAAAGTACAGAATAGCTGGATTCCAAAGCATGTAGCTTATGCAGAAGTTGGGGTCTGTACTGGGCAACTGGTTGGGGAGAAGTCAGTCAGCCCTGACCATAAAGGGGGTTCCCCTCACTCACCATGCTTCTGATAGTTAACTCTGCTCACCTTTCTGCCAAAGCACCCCAGGAAGGCTACTGTGGAAGGTCCGTAATGCCAGAGACTGGAGAACATGGGAGGGCAATAAATCCAGATCCCAGCCCATTCAATATAGGACATGAGACAGGCCCTGTGTCCATCTAGCTCAGTACTGCCAGCACTGGCTTGCAGCTGAGCTGATGGAAGGGCCCTTCCTGTCTCAGGCTCCTGGGAAGGCCACCTTCCCTCGCACAGGTCTGCCCAGTTCCTGCACACATTGGGAAAGGCCCGTCTTTTGAGACTGCCACTTTCAGGGGCATGTTTGGTAGCAGCATGAAGGAAGGACTTCTTGGCAGTGAGTTCCACAGCCAAGCTGCCACAACCAGGAGAGGCTGCAGCTGTTCCCTCCCTGCTGTCCTTCCATTCCCAGTCCTTCAAGCAGGCCTCCGGCGTATAAGCCAGATGACACGTTTACTCTGCAGTTGCAGAGTTTGCTGTGTTTTCTCCTTGCTTTTCTCAGTGACTGTAAGCCAAGAGGAGCACGCCGTTTGGTAGAAAGGCAGGTAGAAATCGATAAACTCTCTCTGCTCCAGTCAGGCAGCGGTATGATGCTTCCCCGAAAGCCAAGAGTTGGGGCTGGTTTTGGAAGGAACGGCATTCTGGTGACGGTTCCAGAAGGGCTGATAAAGTTCAGGAAGCCCAGCCTGTGGGGAAGGACCTGCACCAAGAACTTCAGGATGGGAAAAGTGAGTGTCTGAAAAGATGTGGGCTTGGCACAGGAATGCTTTTAATAGAAGCGCTGTACTCCAGGAGCAGGGCTGTTGAGTTGGTTTTACCGTAAGGAAGCAAAGGTGACGACTAGGATCACCTGGGATGTGCAAGCAAGCACAGCGGATCGGGCCACAACTACTCCCCTTGCAAGGACAGCGGGGAAGGGGGAGTCAAGGAAAAGGCTGCGGACAGACGCCTTGGTGGGAGAGTCGAAAATGATTCAGCATGGAGAAGTGCTCAGGAAGCCCTGGCTCTTGTCCGGCAGGGCTTTTCTTGCAGCCCAGCCAGGCAGGAAGGGACAGCAGTGGAGGCTCCCAGAGCTGGGCCCCTTGAGACAGAGCCGAACCTGGACCCGGCACGTCTCCAGCCGGGATTCCTCGGCCAGGCTGGAACCCGAAGCACCTTTGCAGCTTACACTAACTGCCCCACAGATCCATTCGCCATGCAGTGGTGCAGGGAGACCCGAGAGTCAGTGCTCTCATGGGAAGCCGCTTTCCGGGTGCCAGGTGTATTCCTGGTAAAAGGCTTTCCAAATCAGACAGACCAGTGTCTGGGCGAGTGCAGCCAGGGCTGTTCCCTATCATCCCCCCTCTCAGGGTCATCGTTTCAGGGGGGACGCTGGGCTTTGGCCCAACGGCCTGGCCCCAGCTGCACCCCGAGCGCTGAGGTAAGAAAGAGGGAGCAATCGCCAGACCAGCCCTGGAAGCTCTCTCTGCCTCAGGAAGGCGGGAGAACAGGCAGCGGCTGCGAGGCATCTTCCTTTCTCCTAAAAGATGCCTCCGTCCCCCTGGCTCCTGCTAATTTCCTTCTGCCACACACGGCCTGTCTCTTCTGCCCCACGGAACACACTCTTCCAAAAATGAGGCAGGGCCAGGGAAACACCCAGTTCCAGGAACACTCAGCAGTTGACAAGAGCCGGAAGGAACAAGGCAAGCAAATGCTGTGCATGAGTCACCTGGGTTGGGGTTAAGGTGCAGCAGGCAACTTTGAGTTCCTCTGTCTTTCAGTTCTCTGGGGAAAAGTTAACCAAAGCTAGCGCTGTGAGTTTAACGCCTTTCCATGCAAACTGGGGAGCTGGCACCAGTCACCGATTCATGGACTGAGGAGGGAATTTAATGGCCACGTTTCGAAGCCGCAGGGTGGAGGGGACTGGACCGTGGCACAGATCCCCCCAGGTCAGTTGGTCTCACCTGTCAACAACACCTGGCAAGCAGCTCGGCAGCGTAACCCCAGGTGTTCCCCAGCGCGCCATACGCACCCGCAAATGCCAGCTTGAACGCCTTGAAGACCCTCTGCTTATTCTGGGGGCTTCCATAGAGTGCGGGCAGGAGGACATTTTTTGACGTCGACCGCACAAACAGGTAAGCAGTTCCCACCCAGGCTTCAGAGCTGTTGCCCATCATTCTGCAACCCTAGAAGAGGCAAAAAACAGAACACCAACTAGGTGGAAACACAGGCTCTCTTGTTTCTGAAGTCGCTCTGAGCCACATGGGACCCGCATCTTGTGGCGCGGTGCCCTGGGACAGCCGCTCTCCACATTTGGACCTACTTCTTCCATTACTGCCCCGCAATTAGGCTCGCCATGGTGAGCTGGTGCTGGCCCCAGGTGAGCGTGCTGGGCACCAGCCACCCTCCTGACGTAGGGGCTGTAGGGAAGGACCGCGGATGTCATGGGCGCTCGGCAGCACCTGCTATTCCTTCTCCAGTTCTGGGGAAGAATGGAGACAGGGATTTTTCTCTCCTGCACGTGCACAGTCCCAGAACCGACTGGACTTATCCTGTGGGGCTGCTTGGTGGGAGATTCAGGCCGGATCGAAGAAGGACCTTTTATGTGCACTGCATGGTTAAACATTGGGATTTGCTACCGTGAGATGCGAGGACAGCCACCAGTTTGGGTAGCTTGAAAAGGGAACGGGGCAAATCCACCGAGGAGGAATCCGCCAATGGCTACACCTCCCGATGGCCCTGGGCAGCCTCCGGTGTCGGCGGCAGCAAGCGTGCAGGCTCAGCTGCTGAGGGATGTGGGTGCTGCCTTGCCTCTCCCCTGCTTAGGCCAGTGTCTCCACAAGAGGGCTGGGGGAGAAGGACCCACGCCACAGCCCCCCTTACATCCCGAGGGTTATTTTGGAGCTACATGGCACAGGCGCGTGGAGGGGCTCAGGTGGGCAGGGCCAGGCTGGCAGGGCAAGATGATCTTCGCCGGTTTCTCCTGCTGTGGAGTAAGCAAGGTAAGCAAAGGCACCTCTGCCTGAAGCTGCTTGGAAGGCCAGGGCGAGGCGTGGACACTGCCCTGCAGAAGCACCAGTGAGGAGGCCTGGTTGGATGCAGCTTTCAGTTCTGGCTCAGCCAAGGAGGCCAAAAAAAAGGGCAGGGTCGGAGAAGGATAAACGCGATGGGAGAACCAATGGGTGGAGGACAGAGGCTCAGAAGAGAGAGAAGAGCGGGCTTTGTGGCTCAGGCAAAGATGGAAGATGGGCCTTCCTCCTCCTAGTGTCCGCCCGGCCCAGCCTTGCTTTCCCCAGCTCAGCACACTCTGCGCTTCATCCCATCGTCCTCAGCAAGCCCGTGCTGGCAGGGGTGAAGGCAGTGGAAGCCCAGCACAGCCAGAGGGCACCAGGCTCGGCTGTGTTCGTTGGAGTGATGGAGACTGTACCCCAGCCAAACGGGGTGCCTGCTGGGTGACCACTGATGCTGCGCAAGCTGACGCACAGAGCATTAGGAACATGGCAGATGCTCAGCTGGGGAGAAATTTAAACCAGGCGGGTGTGAGGAGGACGCCCAGCCTGCAGTCGCCCAGGCTTGCTGGTTCAGGTTTGGGGTGGGAGCACATGAGCAGGAATTAGCCAGGGCATCCGAACTGTCAGTCACCAAACGAGGTGAGAGCCAGCCTGCTGAGGTAGAACAGAGAGGAGTGGAGCTCCAGGTGCATATTTAGGCTCTATCAGGAGGAACCAACCCAAGGGGACCAATTAAGCATCCTCGGCTCTTGCCCTTCCGGCTTTCTAGTCCTCCAGCTGTGTGAGCCACCCGGACCTTTCAAGAAAAGAGGCACAGAGGAAATGTTTCCCATTTGGATCCAATTCTTCACATGGACAGACACAATTCCCACACATCACTGGGACTGTTACTTTGGTTTATGCTGTTTGCACAGCTCAAAAGACAGGCGTCCAAGGTTTTCATCCCCTAATAATGGGAGAAAGATATGCTCTTGATGGTGGGCTAGTTTGAATCCAGTTGATTTTAATGCAGCAGTTTAAATCATGATTTAAATGTCTAAGAAAAAAAGAGTAGGTTTTAAATCCAGTTCCCACATTTTTTTTAATTTGTGCTTTTCCTTCAGCATCGGTTATTAAAAACAAAGATGCAGGTATTTGAAAATCACAACGTCCTAGTCTTCACTCTGTATTTGTACTCTGCTTTTCCTTGCAAAGGGAAGGGTATTGCTGTCCTGAACTTCCAACCACACAGCGCATGAGCCTCTTGACCGGCGTGGGGAAAGGAGGCCTTCCTGTCTGGCCTGGTAAGTGGCACCGGCATGCTGCTGAGCTTCAACAGGGGCCTCCTCTCAGCAACCTAAGGCTGGGAGGAACTCTGGCTCAGAGGGAGAGATAGTTCCAGAACCACCAGAGGGAGAGAGAACACCAGTTCTCCACCCTGAGATGCCCAGCACCAAGCTCCGTGATCTCTGGGCGGTCGCTGCCAGTTGGTGTCAACAATACTCAGCTGGAAGGGGCTGATCCAGTGCATAGCAGCGTTCTAAGTTCGAATGCAGCGACTGCTATTTCTGATTATTAGTTCAGTTTGCAGGATTGCTCTGCAAACAAGGCACTGTAAACTGCAGACGAGGGCCAAGGATTCAGTGCACTAAAGGAAGTCAACACAAAATGGTGTTTCTTTCAAATTCACGGATTCCAGGGCTTCACTGTGGCCTAAACGCCCAGATATTTTCAGCAGCTCATCAGGCTCTGTTCCAGAACAACCATATTTCCCAATGAGATGGCCAGGAAACATTATTATTCATCCCATTTCTGTTATTTGTGCCTGCGCAAGCCCATGTTGTGCAATCTTCGTCCTTAAAGCACGCTTAAGTGGATTTGCTCGATGGGCAACAGTGACTTTTGATAGGTTACAAGTGCAAACGCTGAAATGTTGATTTGTATTAAGTTTGGATGTCATGTTAAAACCAAACGTGCAATGTGGACGATTGCTCAGCCCAGCCTGCCACACAGACGTTTGGACGACGGGACCCATCAAGGCTGAGGGTCCCTTGGAAAAGAGCCCCCAGGCCAACTCCTCCACACTCCCACTGCAACCTGCCTGGTTACCTGCCTCTTGCTCTGCCCAGCCAAGGGTGCGGGGGGTGAGGAGGAGGAGGGAATGCCCCAGCCTTCTTGCTCTGGGCTCTCAGCCAGTCAGGTGGGCAAGTGGTGGCATTGGAGAGAGGGACAGTGAGGAGCAAGAGCAGGTGGGGGTGATGGTATTGACAGAGGCTGGCTGGTAGGTCACAGGAATTGCACTGAGAAGGCTAAACTCACTGGAGGAAGCACTCATGCTAGGGAGGGTAAAGGCAGAAGAGGAAAAGGAAACCCAAATGGGGGATGGACGGGCGCCTTAGGTAAGTCAAAGCCTGGAATTTAGAGCAAGTAGGCATGGTGCCAAGTTGGAGGGCTTTCAGTCATCAGTCGGAGAGGACTTAGAAACACAGGAAGAGAGCGAGTCAGAAGGGGCCTCCCGGGCCATCTAGTCTGACCCCCGGCTCCAGCTGGCTCCACTCATGACATGCCTACCATGTGCATGTCCAGCCTATCCTTGGACACCCTCACTGACGGGGCCTCAAACACCTCCCGTGGAAGCCCATTCCACACCCTCGGGGTCCTAACTGTCAGGAAATGCTTCCTGGCATCCAAATGGGACCTTGGCTCCCTGAGCTTGGCTCCCTTGGAGCATGTCCTGCCTTCCTCTGCAGGGGAGAACAGGTCTCTACCCACCTCCGTGTGACACGCCCTCACGTACTTGCATGTCACCAACAGATCCCCTCTGAGACTCCTCCAGGCTGAAGAGACCCAGTTCCTGCAGTCTCACCTCATACGGGATCCCCTGCAAACCAGCCACCAACCTTGTGGCCCTACGCTGCACTGACTCCAACCTGGCTAATCCATTCTGTAATGAGGGGCCCAGAACTGAACACAATACTCCAATTGCGGGCACACCAGAGTTGTGTAGAGTGGTAGTAATACCTCTCTTGATCTAGAAGCCACACTTCTGGCTATGCAACCAAGGGTGGTGCTCGCCCTCTTGGCCACCGCATCACACTGCTGACTCATGTTCAGCCTGCAGTCAACCAGCACCCCAAGGTCCCTTTCACAAGTGCTGCTCTCCAGCCACTTATCACCTAACCTGTACTTATGACAGCTATTCCTATGCCCCAAGTGCAAGACCTTGCACTTATCCACATTGAACGCCATCCTGTTGTCTCCTGCCCACTTCCATAGTCTGTCCAGATCCTTTTGGATCTGGAGTACCTGCTCCTCCGTTGTGGGCACTGCTCCAGTTTTTGTATCATCTGTGAATTTGCTCAGCAGACTGTTCACCCCTTCTTCCATGTCATTGATGAAAAGATTAAACAGGATCGGCCCCAGGACAGAGCCCTGGGGGACCCCGCTTGTCACTGGCCACCATCCCAATGATTCCCCGGTAATGGTTACCCTCTGCTTTCGGTCAGTCAACCATGCCTAATCCACCGGACAGTGCTTTGGTGTATCCCAAAACTCCTCCGTTTCTCCACCAGGATATCATGGGGCACGTTGTCAAAGGCCTTGCTGAAATCCAGGTAAACCACATCCACTATATCCCCCGTCTAGCCACCTTGAAACCTTGTCCTAGATTCCACAAGGTTCGTCTGGCAGGACCTGTCGTTGCCTCGAAGTCCCTGGTGATCCTGCCTACACCCTGGCCTGGCTATGTCATTTGTCCTCACATGAATCACCAGAAGGGGCTGGTGAGCCCCCAGAGCAAACAAGATTCTCCACTCGACCGGATGGCACATAAGAACTGCAAATAGGACCCCGGACTCACAGTCTTAGCTTGACGGTTCTAGCCTTGGGTGGCTTTCTCACAGGCAACATATAAGCACTAATGATCCGTAGTACAAGCACGGTTGATGTACCTGGTTTTCCATGGCAGCACGGTACTATTTTCCCCATGTGATTCTTAAATGTATCCTTGGGATACCCAGTCCGGCCATTTTCTTGTGGAAATAACACTCCGTTCCTGGACTTGCCCTTACATTCTATCAACTTGGGATGCACTCTGCTTACCGGCCCACATGAAATATTAAGCCACATGGGTCAGCTCATCAGTGTGACCCCAGGATGTTGAGGCCGCCCATCGGGTTCAGGTAGGCTCTCCATCACCATCACCTGCTCCTTTTGTGAGTCTCCTAAAGCAAAGCTCAATTTTGCACCAGCTGTTCAGATCCCCCCCCCCAAAAAAAAAACAAGTGTTGGCCTAAAACTTGCATTATCCCCTCCTCTGGCCAAGCTGCTTGGGGCCGTCCTACCTCACCTGGGGGGCTGCATATTCCTGGCCACTATCCTATATGAAAGGCTCAAGTATTTTCTGGAAAGCTGGTGTTTCGCTTGCTTGTTTGTTTTTACAAAGCCGAAGACACTCCTCCAATTTCCCCAGTGTTCTGCTTTGTTTTAATAAGAGAAGAAAAGCCTGGCCTGCTTCAGAGGGTGCTTTTACTCCAGGGTAACTAACACGGAGCACTTTCCCTAGCTTTGCACAGAGGAGGCCTCTAGCCCCGTTCAGAACCCTCCTGTGAATTAAAACGCCTGCGCTGAAAGTATGGGAATGCCACTCGTGAATATGCCCCGTCCCGCTCAAGACAAACCTGTTGGGTGGAATCCTGTGCATGTTTAGGCAGCAAAAAGCCTCCATGCTGGGAAGCGCAGCGCTTCTTCGCTGCCTCAAGCGCACAGGGACAGCGCGGCGCGACCGGGCGCGCCCGCATCAGCCGAATCGCTTGTCCTCTCCAGGCCAAGCGGCGGCGAAACTGCCTGCCTGCCTGGCACGTCTACAAACATGGAGCGAAGACCAGCGCCAGTTCCCGGAATGAAACCGTCCAGCGCGCAGCCGCTTACCGGAACGCGCCCCGGCGAAACCTTCTCCCTCGCCTTTCTGGAAACCAGAGTCATCTCCGCCTCCCTCTCGGCCCCTCCGATCTTGGCGGCGGCGGCGCGGGGGGATTTCCCTCCCGCTCCGCTTTAACAGCGCCGCAAGCGAAGCCCGCCAGCCGTGCCCGCCCCTCCCGCTTCGCCATCCCCCGTCCGCTCGCGGCTGCCCCTCGCCTGTCGCCCGGGCCGAACTCCGAGGCAGCGCAGCGCAGCGCAGCGATCTGGGCCCCCGGCGGCGGGCGGGCGGGCGAGCGGCGTGGGGACGGGGGTCTCCGGCCGCCAAACCCGCGCGGCCGGGGCAGCGCTCAGCCCCTTCCTTACCTCCCGCGGCCGGCGCCTCCGCGCTCCACACGCCCGACAGCGCCGACTGCGGCAGGCGCCTTCCGTCTTTGCGCATTAGCGGCGCCGCGGAGGGAGAAGGCGCTCGGCGGCGCACACATCGCCCCGCCGCTCATGTAGCGGGCCGAGGAAGGGGGCCCGGACGCGCCGCCACGGCTGCCTCGCGGGGAGCGCGTCCGTCCCCGCCCCCCATGCCCCCCGCGAATGCCCCCGGGGCTTTCCGCCTGGGTTTTCCGCCTCCCCTCCGGGAGGAACTCTGAGCGTCGCCCTCCGTTCGCACGGCGAGCGCCAGGCGCTACTGGCCGGAGCACCTGCCAATCCTCGCGGGCCTGCGCTCTCCATTGGGGTGGCTCGCTGGGAGGCGGCCACGGCGCGGGCCTGCCCCTCCAGGAAAGCCCGGAGGCCAATCGGAGGAGGCGCGGCGACGTCAGCCGGAGCGGGGAAACTTGCTGGCGTGGGGTGCGTCGCGCTATCTGATCGCAGGTAAGTGGGGCAGAAGCGCGCGGCGGAAGGCGGCGAGGGTGCCGGCGTGCGCCCTGTGTGCAGCCGGCCCGAGCCCCGCGTTTGGGAGCGGGGAAACGGGGAAGAGCGCGGTCCTTCTGGGCATGTGCAGAGTGCCTGACCTTGACCCAGCTGGGATCTGAAGGCAAGCCCCTGGGAGTCATAGCGTGGTAGAGTTGGAAGGGGCCAGAGGGTCCAGCAGGGCAGGACTGCCAGGTCAGCCATCCTTCTCAGCTGGCTGCCCAGTTGCATCCTGAATGCCTCCAGCTTGGGAGAGCCCGCCATCTCTCTCGGTCACTTGTGCCATTGCTGGACTGTGCTGACAGTCAGGGGTTCTGAGGCTGCCTTCCGCCCTTTTTCCTTGTTGCATTGTCTGTAATTGTGCCTTTCGAGTTTCCTTTTTTTAAACATTTCCACCCCTCTTGGACTCTTTTACTCATCAGAGTCACCGGCCATGTACCTTTGCTTATCCTTGTTCTGTGTATTAAAATTGGCTTTCCTAAAATGCAGGAGATGTGTTTGGCCACGTGTGACTTTCACTTCCCTTGAGTGAAAGAGCAAGGGTCGGCAACCTTTAACACTCAAAGAGCCATTTGGACCCGTTTCCCACAGAAAAAAAAAAACACCGGAAGGCCCAAAACCCTTTTGACATCTAAAATGAAGATAACGGACTGCATATATCATTTTTTGCCTTTATGCTATATATAAAAAAACTAGTGTGTTGCATTCATGAAATCAATGAACTGCTACAGAGAAAACAAATTTTTATTTCTGCATGCAACAAAAACATTTTGAACTCCCCCCCCCAAAAAAAAGGAAGTAGATCTATGTCTTCATTAAGATTTATTTATTTAGCAGACTTATATGCCGCCCCATTCGCCTAAGCCTCGGGGCAGCTTACAAATAAATAAATATCATTGGTACAATAAAATACAGAAGGAGACATCCTGGCCAAAGTTGTTAAAATCAATAAATAAAATCAACAATTAAAATGACGTTTAAATAAAAAGGTCTTGGCCTGGCGCCGAAAAGCAAATGACGACGGCACCAGGCAGACCTCTCTGGGGAGCGCATTCCCTAGATGGGGCGCCACCACAGAGAAGACCCTCCTCCAGGTACTCACCCACCTAATTTCTTTCACAGAGGGCTCCCAGAGAAGGGCCTCTGCCGCTGATCTCAAGGGGCAGGAGGGCACGTATGGACATAAGCACTCCTTCAGGTAACCAGGACCCAAGGAGGAGAGCTTGCAAGCTGCCCTGGGCTCATTGCAAGAGGGGAAAAGGTGGGGCATGAATATAATAATGAAAAACGTATTGAAATATAAAAAACAGTGATACTGATAATAACACTGAACATGTGCAGTTTTGCATTTTAACCTCATGAATCATAGCACCATCTGGATGCAGGGGGGAAAGGGGGTTTGCGCCTGCTGTCCCCACACCCTCAAAACTTGCCGCTGTTTGGAGAATCACTTGCGTCTCCCAAGGTCCACCCACCCACCGCACAGACTAACTTAAGGTTGGTTGGATCCAGCTAAGCACCCCCCCCCCCACCATTGCAGTCGGGCCAGACTTGCTGATGGTGACCTGGAGCACCTTATACTTGGATGAGACATTTTATGGAGACATTTTATTGCCTGAACTGAGGAGTGGCAGGAAGAATAGTCCAGGGCAAACAGTGAACAGGTGCGACTTCCTTTTGCATGAAACTTATTTGCAAGACAAGGAAAAAGCACCAACTGCAGGGTCACTCACTGCACACCACACCGTTGTCCCGTGGCTTCCTCCGTCGTCTCGTATTGTGAGCCCATTGAGAAAGGAACCGGTGGCTTCTGCAGGCGGGAGAGGGAAGGAGGAACAGCGGTTCTGTCAGTACTGAGAGGTATGCTAGAAAAAGTCCTTTCCAAGGGGCGCCTCTGGCTAGAGAGGGATGGCGCTTCTGTTGTCAAGACAGCTGAAGTAATGTCGGCAGATGGCTTTGCCCGCTGTGCATCCAGTCCTTTTCCTTCGGCTCAACGAGGCCAGGCAGGGAGGGGAGCAGAGGGACCAGCCGGCTCCCTCCAAGCCATTTCCAGGAGTTGGGAGGGGCTTTCCAGGCACCCCACCAGAAGGTCCCACTGGTTGTACCCCTGCCCTGGGTGCCAAGCTTGGCCACTGATCCAAGAGATGTCCCTTTGCAGCATCGCAAAAGGTGCTGGAGTGCAGCTGTTGGGCCACACACGGCTCCAGCTTGCGGGGCTAGTGCAGTCAAGGCAAAAAAAAATTCTGTGTGATGGAAAAGCTTGCCTTTTTTATGCCAGCCGCTCTTATTGAAAGAAGACCTGGACATTCCCATAAGGTTACTTCTTGAGCATTGATGAGCAGGAAAATGTATCAGTTGATAAAGCTGCCAGGCTTTCGCTGCCGGACTTGGCCAGCTGAAGCTCACGAGGTGAAGGAGAATCAAAGGAGTTCTTTTATGCCGGACAAGCTTTTATTTAATTGGAAATGTCAGCTCTGGGCTTGCGGGTGTCTGTGCCACACAGTCCTTTAAGGAGCTGCAAGTAACCCATCAGTAGGAAGGCGTTTCCTTAAATATAGGAATGCGAGCTTGTGTGATGCTTGGAGAGGGCAGGAGAAGTTCTCAGTCAGGGTGTGACAGAAGGAGTAAAGCAGCACCTATTTAAGAAGGATCCGCAGGTGGAGCTGCTTTCTCAGTTCTGCTCTTTTTTGCATCCGGGGCCAGGCAATCTATGTTAGGCTAACTGGATAACCCAGGTCTCCTGAGCAGCTGGGTGGAAGGCAGGCAGCGGGAGGGGAGGGCCGCCAAGCTTTGCCTTGGACGAACAAGGACATGTCAGTCATACTAGAGGTCTCTGTTGGGAAAGTGGAACACAAGTGCATGAATAAATCCCATCCAGTGTTCTCTGCTTAGTAGACTTGCTGTGCAAGGTTAGACAGAAGAAGCGCCTTTTTCCGGTCCAGACTTCCATAGGATGGCAACTTTTAAACTCCTGCCCTGTGGAGTTCAGCTTGTGGTCGGGACGGTACTCTTGGCTTCACTGTCTTGGGATCGGTCCTGCTTAACCCAGTGACGTTCGCTGTGAAGTAGACTTGGATAGGACTGAGTCCCTCTGGACTCAGTGGAATCCAGCAGTTTAGGACTCTTGCATTGAAAGCTTTATTCAGTTCTTTCTTTTTGAAGGCCATTGATACAGTCCTAGATGGTTAAATTCTGAATTCATGGAATTCATAGTACACTCTTTCTATGTCTACTGAGCAGAAAGTATTGCTGAGTTAAATGGGACCGACTCCCAGGGGAAAGAGAGTAAGATTGCAAACTTAATCTCCAGCCAAACTCCCTAGGACTGGAGTCTAAAGGTGCAATCCTAGACACATCTGCTCATAGATAGGATCCATTGGATTTAATGGGGCTTTTCCCAGGAAACTGGGCATCGGGTTATAGCCTTGCAGAGCGATCCTGCACCTGCCTACTGAGAATTAATTCCTGCTGGATAAGCAGACATAAGACTTGTAGTTTAAAGCTTAAGCCCATGCGTGTCTGATCAGAGGCAAGTCCCAGTAAGTACCCACGTATCTGGAAGTGAGACCGCCTAAAATCTCTCGGCACACAGTTTCTCCACTACAACTGTGCAATGGCCTTTCTCTTGGCAAACGTCCTTCAGTGTTTGAAAATCGTATCTCTTGAATGTGGGAAGTTAGTTCTTCAAAATTTCATTTCACCTACGTTAGGACAATGACAGGTGATCCTATAACAAGGGGCGGCGGTGGGGGGGGACCTCCTAGGGGTTTCCTTTAAGGGGTGCCCTCTCCAGCCTGGTGCCCACCAGAGTTCTTGAACTACAACTCTCAGCATCCCCAGCCTACCTGCTAGGAGATGTAGTCCAACATGTCTGGTGGGCACCAGATTGGGGAAAACTGGTAAGATGGGGCAAGCCTAGGCACCTTGCTCACAGGACAGGCATGGATGTTGAATGCTGTAACTCAGCTCTGGACGTGCATCCCGGACTCGGCCCGGTTATTTCGTAGCTGATGGTTCCTTTTGCGGGGCAGCTTGTTTTGCAGGGAGGAAGTGCAGACCTGGGAAGATGCCTACACCAGCCGCAGATGCTTGGAGATATTTGCCTGAAGAAATCCTGGCCCACATCTTTTACTACCTGCCTCTGAAGGACAGGGAAGCCGCCTACCACGTCTGTCAGCACTGGGCTGTGGCGGTGTCTTCTAGTCCTGTCTGGGCGTTTACGGAGATCAGGTAAGCCGGAGAGGCACTGCAGCAGGAGCTGAATGCGCCTCTGGCCCCGGAAATGTACCATTGCTTGCCCAGAGAGCTGAGTTTTGTCGCCCACGCGTCACAAGACACGCTGGGCGGATTCAAACGTAGCACTGGACCCTGCCACGGCTGCAGAAGCCCTTTCAGTCCCAGGGCTGGACGCCACTTTGGCGAAGCCACCCGGGCTGCGTTCCAGGCTGAAGACAAGCGCGACAAAACGTATCAACTTATTTTAGATCAAGGTCTCATTCCCAGTAGGTGAACCTTAATGGGACTTGGCTCTGATCAACCTTTTAGAATGGGGGAAAAGCCTACAAAAAAAGATGGGAACAGCCAATGTTTCTACCAGGGAGCAGGGGTTTGGGTCAAGGGAAGGGGGCATGGCTTTCCAGACAACCCGGAAGGCTAGATTGATACCCTGGGAGGCCAGTTATGGCCCCGGGGACTGCAGTTCCACAGCCCTACAAGATGTATTCCACAGTATTACAAGATGAAACCTAGCCTTGCCACACCTGGGCAAAGGAGTTGGACGCTTTTGCTAATGCACAGCTTGTGACATCTTCCAAACCCAGGCAAACTGTGATTTATCTTAACTATGGTTAGTGGAAACAAGCTAGTGTCAAGGCATAGTTTATGAACCATGGTTAACATTAATCACAGTTCGTTGTGGTTCGGACCACACAGGAAACTGTAGTCAGTCTAAAATAAAAGTGGGGCCTTTGTCTGCTTGTGGACCTGCTGGCCAAGGGAGGGGGGTGCCCATGATCAGTGGGGGCACAGGGTGTTCTGGGACTGTAGCCTTGTGCTTGAACGCAGCACCAACTATTAGCAATGGAAGACCTTTGCAGGGCTGGAAGTGGAGGGGTGAAGCAATGTACCCCCAAATTGCTAAGGTACAACTAGACCACTCAAGCCACACCCGGAAATGTTGAGTGGTGGCCACTGGTGACACTATCGCACTCTTGGTGGGACAGACAACACCCGGGTCCTTGCTTTGACAGGTGGACAAAGGGGGCTCCAACCACTTTGCAGTAAACTTCAGTTACCCATGTGGCACCAGTGCCCTCTGCATGCTTTGGACTTCAGGTCTCATCGGCCCCAGCCAGCCATGCCAATGTCCGTGAAGGCTGGGACTTGTCACCTGAAACACCGTATTGCCACTGGTTTAATATCACAGTAGCTGGTCCTCCTAGATCAGCTTTCCCCACCCAGGATCCTGCCAATTGGTGGCATGTGCCGGCTGTGAATTCTGGGAGTGGTAGTCCAACACAACTACAGGGGCACCAGGGTGGGGAAGGCTGTCCTAGAAAGACTGAGGGCCAGTCCTCACAGGCAGGTGTGTCTTCTGGAGGACTTCCAGCGGCGACTTGAAAGGGACCGTCACAAATACAGAATGACCGGCAACAAAGTCGGGCTGCTTCCAGTTTTGCATTTGCCAGACCAAAATGCTGCACCGTGTTGCCCTTTGTCAAATCCCTTTCATAAAACTTTAAGGCTGCTGTGCAGGAAGGCTTTGCAATACTAGCACGGTATTGCACATTTAATTTTTGTAAAGAATTCATCCATTTAAGAATTATTCTGTAGAAGGCAGCAATGGATGTCACTAGAGGGGGATCTTTCACTCCCAATATTGTAAACGGACTTCACACTGGCTGATAATTTGCAACTCATTCAAACAGCAACTGCAAGCAAAACACATCTTTAAAGATCAACAGTAGGTTTCGATTATTTTATTTATTTATTTAAAACATTTCTATGCCGCCCCATTCGCCGAAGCCTCGGGTCGGCTCACAACAATTACAATATATCCCCTGTCCTGCTGCCCGAGAGAACACTTTAATCATCTCTTGTGCTGCTGTGTTCAGTGAAGAATCATCACAGCCTAAGGCTGATCACCCCGGTCTGTCGCATGGTTGCTTGAGGGTTGTTTAACCTTCAAACAACCCATATCGCCTAAGTCCAGATAATGCAAATAGCCCAACCAGGGCTTGGATATTTAAAGTGGCTGCATGCAGCCCAGTCCATGCCGGCTTAAATGACCCCCAGCTTGGTTGGCTTTGAACATGGAAGGGCTGAATGCAGTTGTCAAGGGCAAGGTATTTTGGAGGGCTGATTCATAGGGTCGCCATAGGCCGGGATGCCCTGATGGCATGCAGTAACACAACAGACCAATTGGACTGACACACACCGGTCTCGATGGCCGTGTGCCGCCTCTGTTGTCAGAGCCAACATGCCAGCCGTCTCCAGCTGCAGGAGAACATGGGCTGGGGGTGCCTTGTTCTGGAGGCTCCCGCAGGAAGCTGTTCGGCCATGGTGTGGGCAGAGGGCTGGCCTAGGTAGGAAGAGCCCTGCCGAGTCAGACCTAAGTGGTGTTATGCAGCCGTGGCAATGCCGAGTGGTGATCTTTCCCCCGTCCCTCAATGCTCTTGCAGTTGCGACGCGGAGGAAGGTACGTTGCTGAGCTTGCACCCGTTCTTGCCCCACATCAAGCACCTGAAGATCACGTTTGATCAGTCCAAGCAGGCGACCCGGAGGAACGTCACCCGGATCTTGGCCCTGCTGGCGGAGCAGGGCCACAAGCTGCAGGCGCTGTGCATTGAGTGCCGAGGAGAGAACCCTTACTTCTATTCTGGCCAGGACATCCTGCAGAGCATTCAAGGGATCTGCCAGAGCGAGAACGGGATCGATCTTCGGTACGTTGACTTTCGGAAGATGCCCTTCACGCTGGATGACGGCCTTGTGCGACTGATGGCCTTCAGCTCCCCCAAACTGCACACGCTGTTCATCAACAACCGCACTCTGGTGTGCAACGTCAAACCCAGCACCCTCGTCGAGGTCCTGCAGGCTTGTCCCAGACTCTCCACTTTGGGGGTTTATTATGCTAGCTTGTCTGAGGAAGTGTTCCAGGAAGTGGTGGGGGCAAGCAGGAGCACCTTCAAGTGCCTCGACATTTTCTGTGAGCGCCTGGACAAGTACATCCCTGTCATCCCGGAAAAGCTTTGGGCTGCGGTGAGCGAGAAATATCCGCAGCTCCAAGTCAAGCTGGAGTTCGACCACACGGTCCCCGCTTGGAAGATCCCTCGGATTCTCAAGGCAAACATCCCGGTCTCGACGCTGCAGCTTAATACCTACACATACATGGTGAAGCAGATTGAGTTCGTCACCAGCAACTACAGCAGGACGCTGGAGGTGCTCGTCCTCCGAACCACCTCCTCGGACGACCTCAACTCCTCCCTGATCGAGCTGGCCAAGCGGTGCGTGCGCCTGAGGGAGATCCACTGCTACTGCGTGGTGAGCCCAGGTGTGGTGGAGGCATTCCTTCTGCACTGCACAGGCCTGAAATGCTACACGCTCAAGACGACCAAAGAACGCAGCCCTTGGGGTGCAACTGTAGTCCAGTGATTGGCAGCTGGGCCATTGCAGCCGTGCTCCCCGGCAGCAGGAGCGGCGCTGGCCGGATTGTGTGGTTACCACCTCCGCCACCAGCTGGGTTTCCTCCCGCTGAGCTGCCACTATCAGGCAAGACTCCAGTTCCTTCTCCTCTCCTCCGCTGCAGACTGCTTGCTTACCTGCTCTGTGCTCTGGCCCAGAGAACATAGTGCTGAGAAGGACCAGCAGCGAGCAGCCCTGCCTCTTCGCTCGTTGGCTGTCTGCTTGCCAGGCAAGCCAGCGGAGGTCCTGGCGACGAGAGCTGTTGCAGAAACGGGCAACGACGCTGGAAGGAAGGCAGGGCCTTGAGGGGAGGGCAGCCTGCTGCAGGTGTCCAGCCCACAGGTCTCCAGAACGTGGTGTTGGCATGACTAAAGGACTTTGCTGTGCAAGTTTCGCTGGAGTCAGCAGCTGGTGTTTTGGAGCACGCTGAAATTAGGTGCCATCGAGTCTATCAGGTGATATGAAACACACACCGATCCCATTATCTCACATTATTACTCTGCTTTTGCACTAGGCACAGGTTAGTAAAAATAGCACCAGAGGTGCAGGTCGGTATATTTTTCCAGCTCTTGTACAATCACAGAAGTACACAAACTGATTTTATGGCCTTTAATAATTCACAATAAATATTTGCAGACAGAAATACAGTATTGTTCATGCAGGGGCAAAAAGCACATGCAGAAATACAAGGGGTCTTCAAAAAGTTTATGCACTTTTTAAAACTCTATTTATTTATTTAAAACTTTTATATACCGTCCCATCATTGATGTCTCAGGACGGTGTACAACACCACCAATAAAATAAACTTTATTAAGCTTAATAAAATGTATTAAGAATTTCAAAAATAAATCACATCAGTTTTCTACATAGTTACCTTCCTTTGCAATGCATTTTTCCCAGCAACATACCAACTTTTTAATGCCATCAGCAAAAAAAATATTTATAAAATATAAAGGTATTGAAACTTTTTGAAGACCCCTTGTATATAGACTGCAATGGATGGAGTCACCTGTATTAGGTCAAAATGTTAACTCCAGCATCCAAACTTGAGCTTCCTCGGCTAGTTTCGTGGCATTAAAGCCAGAGGAAAAAATAATGTTCACTACCAGTTTATGTATGTATGTATGTATTTATTTAGCAGACTTACATGCCACCCCATTCGCCTAAGCCTCGGGGCAGCTTACAAATAAATATCATTAATACAATAAAATACAGCTGGAGACATCCTGGCCAAGGTTGTTAAAATCAATAAATAAAATCAACAATTAAAATGACATTTAAATAAAAGGTCTTGGCCTGGCGCCGAAAAGCAAATAACGACGGCGCCAGGCGGACCTCTCTGGGGAGCGCATTCCATAGGTTAAGCCTGAATTAAGTTCCTGAAGGAAGGAATTGCATACTTAGATTTTCCCAGGCACATGCGCATTTTCCTTAAAAGCTTCTGAGTAAAGTTCAAAATAAGCCATACTTCTAGTAGACCCATGAAATGAAGGGGAGTAACTGAAGGCCAGTTTATTGCAATTAGTCTACTCTAAGTAGGACATATATTGATTTTACAGCTTGAGCATTTTCATTCCCCCTTTTCATCCATGGCAAGAGTGTGTAAACCCACTTAGATCAAAATTGTGCGTGATAGAAAGTGTAGCACCAAATGCCCACTGTGAGAAGACCTTACAAAGACCCTGCAAAAATTTGGGCGGGCCCACTGTTTCTCCACGACCCATCTGAATTCCTTTTACTTTCGTATGAATCTGCAGGCAGGTGCTTTTTTTTTCATTTAATTTCTATACAACACTCAGGGAAATGTAGATCTAAGTGACTGGACTCAGAACCAGGGCTTTAGTTTGCACTCAGCCATGAAGCTTACTGGACGACTCAGCCTAGCCTACCTCGCAGGTTTGTCGTGAGGTTATGGTGGAGAAGAGTAGGACCATGGAAGCTGCCTTGGGAACCTTCCAATGTAAAAATAAGTAAAATTCCATTCAGAATTTGGGAGCATGTGGTTTTTGCGATAACACAATGCCAACTGATTTCATAAACGTTTTCTTTGCCTTATCATTCAAAAGTGTGGATTATTTTCCTCTTAGGAAGATAAGTATCTTATTTAACTAAGCGCTTGCAGTAGCTGGGCTCAATAGGATTTGTCTCTGAGGAGCTCTTTATAGAATTGCACTTGGGAATAAGCCCCATTCAGCTTAAGGGGATAAACCCATTCAGCAGGGGTTTCAACCCGGGGGCTCATTTCAGAATTTGACAATCTGCAAAACGGTTCCCATGCAGGATGTGGCTGGTCCCATCAAGGCGGCAGTGAGGACCTGGCTAGTCAGAAGACCGGTAATTTTCCCAAGTAACTGAACAGGAAAGGCAGTTTGGGCCAACAGCAGGCAAAGTTGTAACCCTAAGCAATCTTAAACAGGTATGGAATGCAAGGAGAATTAGGACTTTGCTATGCCAGACGTTCATTGTGCCCTGGCAGCCCCAGACTCACGGTAGTCTGCAGGTTCTTCACACCACATCGCAGTCTTCCAGGGCCTCTCCCACACTGCAACTGCTCTGCCATGGGGCAGTGGTGTGTTTTTGCAGTTGTGCAGCGCGGCAGTACCCCTGCTTGCTTGGGAAATGCAGGAAAGCAGAGAAAGCCCAGAGGGAGATAAAGCATGTGCAGGAGCTGATCTTAACCCTCTAAAGGATCCCACAGAAGCAGCTTCGGTAAAGTGGTGGGTTAAATGCCTCGTGCAGAAAAGCCCGCCTTTCTGCATCCACCTACACAGCATTGCAGCTCTCATCCTATTGACACCCCACACACCTGCCTGCAACCCCAAAGGAAAGAAAAATGCCTTGGCCCCAGAAGGAAAAAATCCACCCCGCCCCCCATCTCAGAGCAACAGTCCCACTCTTGCCCATTGGATGCTCTCACTATGCCCTCTGCCCCAGAAGGTACTGCATGTGTGAAGGGGGAAATGGGGGGAGGTCAGGGAGGCTGGGCTTGGAGGGGGGAGAAAGAGCAAAGAGGGAACTGGGCCCTTTCATCCTGGAGGAGACTCAGAGGGGATCTGTTGGCGACATACAGGTACGTGAGGGGATGTCACACGGAGGTGGGTAGAGACCTGTTCTCCCCTGCAGAGGAAGGCAGGACGCGCTCCAACGGAGCAAAGCTCAGGGAGCCAAGGATCCATTTAGATGCCACTTCCTGACAGACAGGACAGACAGGGTGTGGAAGGGGCTTCCACGAGAGGTGGTTGAGGCCCCATCGGTGCGGGTGTTCAAGGATAGGCTGGACATGCACATGGTGGGCATGTTGTGAGCGGAGCCGGCTGGAGCCGGGGGTCAGACTAGATGGCCCGGGAGACCCCTTCTGACTTTGTGTGTTTCTGAAATTCTTAATAAAAAGAGTTTTTAAAAGTGCGGAAACGTTTTGAAGAACCCTTGTATTATTTTGAAGGCTGCAGGGAATGAAAAGTCCCACAGGGCTCTGTGCTACTCCGTAGGACTCCCGCTTATCTGTGCAACCCTCCAGTCCCACAGGCCTGCCCAGAAGGAAGCCCCATGGCGATCAAATGCATGCACGGCAGGGCAGCAAATCTTTCCCCGCTTCAGGTGGGCTGCAGTACAGGAGGTCAAGCCAAAAGTGAACGCAGAGGTGCCACTTAATTTAGCGTTCCATGCAGAACAGGAAGCCTTTTGCCTGCAGGTGTTGCCTTTCCCCCGACTGTGGAGGGTTCCCCCACCAGCTTCGTAGCTGGAGCACAGAGCAGGATGCAAAGGGCGCGGGGGGGGGGGGGGGA